AGCTATAGTGGGGGCAGAATAAGGGAACTGCTCCCTCAAATAACATCTGTCCCCCATGAAATTCCCACAGATTTCTAACATTGTAGGCACTGGAAATCATTCACATTGAGAAGGACTGTTCTGTTTTCTGACTTGACATTCCTTCTGTTACTCTGCCTTCCCTCTTTTTTTTGGCTGCCTAAACTGTATTTCTAAATGCATATGGTGTTTTAAGTTACTGCGATGCAAAATATTTGGGCAATTAAAGAATATGTCATTGAGGTGGCAGAATTCTTATTGGAGCAATGCCTATAGAAACCCATGAGAAGTACAGCATCACACACGTTGGCACAGCTAACATGAACCACTCCATCTAAATCTTAGGAGTGTCTCATCACCTGGTTTATACAACAATTCTAATTGTAAGTGCACCACTATGATGCTATACTGAGGGCTAGATGACATGTGATGGATATGAAGTCATGTTCAAGTTTATTCTTGTTGGAAGTGCAACAGTGCTCTGTACTGAAGTCAATTGCCTCAAAGTGGGCAGTAACAATAGGCTTAGAAAGTCTGAGTAACCTAAAGTGTCCTCCCTCTTTATCTACCTATCCTGACCCCTGTGTGATGTAAACTCTTAGGGATGTTTCCACCTCTTCTCCTTCCTGGAACTTTCTCATCTTTCTCCTATAATCCAGAGAGATTAGATGAGCAGCCTGATTTAGGGCCTCTGCAGGAGGCAGAGATGGGGTGGGGCAGCTGCACACCAGCCGCCCCAACCCTATGCCGGCAGTATCCTGATGCTGCGCACTGTTACGCACAAAGCACAGCATCAGGAAGCCCTCCCAGCACAGAGTTCTGACGCGCTGCACTGGAAAGGGAAAGTGCCACACACTGGTTCTTAGGGCACCCTTTTGCCACACCTGAAAGGAGCAGCATTTTGCTGCTTTTTGGGGGGCAGCAAAAGGAAGGATCAGAGCCGTGGCATGGGGTAGCCATGGCGCTGATCCACCACTTCCCGGGATGGCCCAGAGCTGCCCGTCTGCAGCCTGCCTAACTTTCCTATTTTAGAAGTTCCTATAACAAAGTCTTTACTTTGTTTTCTCTAAGCTATTGGTATCTCTGGTCCTTAGTCAGGATCTCTATCCTTTGCATGTACTCCTATCAGTTCTAATTCAGTGTTACTCAAAATGGTGGCCCCTGACAGTTTCTGGTCTCCCCAAAAGTTTCCAGGAAAGAACAACACAATTATAGCAAATAGGCACAAGTATAGTGCTGGTCCCCAGCACATTAGAAAAAAACAATAATTATCAGTCCCTTATATCAGGTAGCGTGAGAAACATTGTCTAACTCACTCCTCCCTTCAAACGCTCCTATAGAAGCTGCAATCTGAAGTGGAAGGCAAGAACTAAGGCTGCATCTTTTCTGCTGAAATAATGCAACTTGATACCCTTTTAACTGCCATGGCTCAATTCTATGGAATTCTGGGATTTATTTAGATTTCTCTGTTAGAGAGGTCTGGTGCCAACACAAACTACATTTCCCCGAGTACCCTCCAGAGCCATGCCAGTTAAAGTGGTGTCAAAATGGATTATTTCTGCAGTGCAGATGCAGCATTAGTAAATATGCATAGGAATGGACTGTAAGACAGTGAAGCCCAGGAGAAGTTGCTAGACTGTGGACCTAAGCAGACGGGCGGGCGTGGGCCGCCCTGGGAAGGTGCGCCGCGGGACCGAGGCATCCCCACGTCTCGATCCCACAGCGCACTGTCGTCGCCCCTGGAAAGGAGCGCTAAATCAGCGCTCCTTTCATATGTCACCGAAAGTGCACCACAAAAGGCTGCAGCGCACTTTCGGCGACTCTTCCGCTGCAGCGTGTCCGGACGCTGCGGCGGGAGGTCCTCCTCGGAGCACTGGTCGTGCAGAGGGACGCTGCTCCAAGAACGGCCTCGGGAGGGGGAGGGGCGCCGAGCGTGCAGCTGCCCCTCCCCTTCTCTGCACCAAAGATGGCCCAATAAGCCGTCTGCTTAGGCGCTGTATTCTCCATCATGCCTCACCACTGGCTATCTTAGCTAGGGCTAATGGGAACTGCAGTCCAACATTATTGGGAATGTGATTCTCTCACTGCTTTCAGGCTTTTTTTGTTTTTGTTTTTTGGTAATATCTGCTTATTTGTAAGTAGTCACACTCGCTATGAGTGAACAGGGAATCATCCAGCAATGTCAGCCATGGAAGCAGTGTAATTTCCCCTCAAATACAGATTTATTAAATTCAGGACTTCCTCCAAGTCAGCTGCAAAACTCAAACATCTAGCTCTTTCCTGAATTCCAGCTGCCAAACTGTTCCTTTCAATTCTCTACTAAGCAGAGACTACTTTTCTTAGGAGCTGTACAGACAGGCAGGAAAAGGAGACATGAAGCTGCCTTTTCCCTAAGCTGCAGCAACTGCACTGCCTGCCCCAAGGATGCCCTAAATGGGGACGGAGCAACCACACTGGGGGGGCAGTCAATGCAGCTTTTCCGAGGCCATATTGAAGCCCTGTCAACTGCACTGCTGGACCTGAGGATACTGCAAAAGGAGATGGAGCAACCGCATAGGTTGGCAGTGGCTGCTTTAATTCCCCCCCCCCCATTCTCTCAGATACATGCACATGTGCTCAAGAACACATCCCTGCACACCTGCGCAGAACATGTCATAGGCTGGTATACTGCCTGTCACTCTCTGTGTACAAAGGTGACTGAAGTTCAACCTCCCTGTGCACCTGCACAGAACTTGTCATAGGGTGGCATATGGTCTGTCATTTTGTCTGTAAAAAGGTGACTGATGTTCAGCATCCCTGCGCACCTATGCAGGACCTGTCATACACCCACAGATCATGCAAGGATTCACTGACCTCAGCTTCCCCCAAGTAGTGAGTCCCATAGACAGCCAACGTTCATGTGACGGCATGTATTTATTGTCATAGTAGAGAACAGTTGCTAGGGTGCATGTGTAGGGTTACAGTTAGGGTTAGGGTTACAATTAGGGTTAGGGTTCTAATATTCAAGCACACCTGCGGTGGTCCATTCACACCTGGAAGCATAGGGCACTTTAAATTAAAGCCTGCATCATAGGGTGCATGCTCTGATTTGCTGACTCAGTTTCTGCCGCATATGTGGCGGTGCATTTATACAGCTGTTTTAAATATCTGGCACCCTTTTTCTGATGCACCATGTATATGCACATGTGAAGGTGCACATCTTTCTGGAAGAAGTGGAAAAAAGCTGCTCCATTTTGGAACAGCTTTTCCTGGCATATGGCACCTAGAAAGCACTTTCCTGCCGGCTTTTAGGCATGCGTCGTCTAAATTCTATGCGCAGTGGTTCCTGATGGCGCAGTGATTAAATGCCTGTACTGCAGCCACTCACTCATAGACCACAAGGTTGTAAGTTCAATACTAGCCAGGGTTCAGCCTAGACTCAAGCCTGCATCCTTCTGAGGTCGCTAAAATGAGTACCCAACTTTTGAGGGGCAATGAGCTTACAGTTGTAAACCGCTTAGACATCCCATAGTGTGATATGAAGCGGTATATCACACTATGGGATGTCTAAGCGGTTTACAACATATAAATGAAGCTGCTAGCTGCTTTGCTTTGCTTCGCTTCAAGTCAGCCTGAAAACACCTCTTTTTGCCCATCTGTACAGCCCCTTAATAGCAACCAGCTCTCTTTCCATACTCAAAGATAGTATGTTAGCCAGCTGTCCCTGCTGGGGAAACCTTTTTAGCTACCAAATATACCAAAGGAATGCAGAGGGT